CAGCCGAATGCCACAGAACACAATCAGTTCCCTTAGCTGTAGCTGTCAAGAGTTTAGGTTCAGGTTTCCTCAAATCTGTGACACATCTGAGTATGCAGATGTCCTTGTGCATGCAAAAGGAGGATTGTGCACATTGCAAGTAAAATATCAAAAATATGTGTTAGTGAAATGCACGGTATATAGAAATACAGAATATCTGATGGCAGACAGAATATTTGAAACATCTTACAATCAACACAAACATATCTTCATAACAGACCATTCAGTTAGCTGTAATAGCTCTTCTCAGATATTTATTGAATTGAGCAGCATCACATGCTGTCCATATTTTTTCTTTATTTTTTCATCTGTTAATGTATTTAGAAATTAAGATTTTAGGAATGAACACACTATCAGTTTGGATTTGAACATCTCCCACAGCTTTCCCTGACTCTGAATCTAAGTTGCACCATTGCTTTCAACTCCTGTTGAGATCCTCAGATGTTTGCAATCGGGTTTATTACACGCAGTCTTTATCTTCTTCTTTCCTTCAGTTCCATTGAACAGGGTTCCTACTGCTTTTACTTTATGAGTCACACATGCCAATGTTAAATTTTGTCCTCAGATGGTGAAGCCTTTGAAAATATTATGGTTTTCAGATACTTTTATCTTAAACTGCTGCTTTTTACATGTCTAGTTTCCAGTGTCACCTCCTCAGTGTATCATTTCACACAAGCGTAAATTTATAGTGTTCTGCTTCTTGAACATAAACATTATACCTTGCCAGTGAAAATATATGCAGATAATTTTTTACTTATGTTCTCATTCACTGCTATATAATACCAAATGTAATTATAGTGCACAGAGACATTATGTAACACACGTGTAAATGAGCAGAGGCTGCATCATACAGTCGATTATGTAAACCCTTCATTATGAAATGAGATTTAAGTGGTATATATATATTAGAACCTTTTTATCTTCACTTTAAACTTTGTATCTTACATTTAAGCACAGTAGCTAAGCACAACAGGCAAAAACTACAAACAAGCACATTTGAATGCTTTAAGCACAAAGTCAGGTGTTATATTCAGATACTGACACTAAAATTGTTAATTTCAAAGAACCATCTCCTCTCAACAAAGATTTTAGACATTAGCACAGAAAGTTGTTGTTGTTTATCCTACATGGTGTTGTTTTATGTTGATGTTCTCCATCTACCGAAGGCAGACCCCTGCAGCACATTCATTAAATTGTTTCCCATTAATTTCCTTTCTAGGGAAACATTTGGGAGCAGATCTTCCAGATTTCCTTCATACTGGAAATGATCAACACAGTGCCATTTATAATCACAGTGAGTAACTTAATCAGTTCGCCTTGTCCACAAAACAAGATCTTCAAATATCAGATATGTACAATTTTGAATTTAATGAGAAACTACCTAATGCATTTAAATTTCTTTATTATTTGTATTGTGGATTGTAACGTCATGTTATATATGAGGTATGTTAACTAAATATCGCTTTACTAATATACTGTATATTTTCACCCTGTCTCTTTCTTTTCTTCTTTAAGATTTTCTGGCATCGATTAAGAGACATATTCGTCCCTGTGTTTCTTAACTGCTGGCTAGCCAAAGGTGCTCTGGAGAATATGATTGTAAGTTGTTTGCCATTGTAAATAAAGCGTGTGTTGCATCTTACACACATTTTACAAGCTTTATTGTACTAGAGAGAATAAACAAAACTGTATGTTTTCTTTATTACTATGGGCTTTGAGGTTAAATTAGCTGGCCTCTAGCAGCCATATTAGAGCTCATGAGTAACATTGTGTAAGTGCTCAGTGGGTTGATACAATGTAACAAAACAGAATTTAATCGACTAGGCTAATTCATTTCTTTCTGGTTAGCTGGC